AAAAGGAAATGGTTTCAGATTGAACTTGGTTACACGTTTGAATGTTTCATTATCAATGCCTATAATTGTGTGATGAACAGGGTAGTCATTTAGCTCTTTTTTCTATTTTCTATAGAACAGACTTGATGCAGGAAGAAACAGTGAATTTTTATTCAGTAATTTTGCATTAACTGAATTCAGTGGTCTGTGTTCATAAAATGCAGTAGCATTGTCTTGTAGCTCCTACCTGCTACGAGCTATGAAAACCAATAATATCTCAAGAGGAAGAAAGATTTACAAACAGTTGCTCTACAGAAAATTATACATGACAAGAAAATTAAGTCATTACTGAGAGGCTGACTTCTGAAATAGAATCATAGTGGAAACAGAAAATCAATCAGTTTTCCATTATGAAGGTTATTCAAAGATGAGGAGACAGGAAACCTCTCTTTTATAAAGGAGAGTGAACGTGAGGTAAGCCTACAAGAATGCAGCTTGAACTTGGTGGGAATAGCAGTCAATTAAAAGACCTTTTTTCTCCTTATTTCATTTTGAGAGTCATTGTAGTGAGACAAGAAGTAATTGAGAATGTAGATTCATTTGAAAGTAAATGAAAGCAGCTTTCATTGTTGAAGTATTTTTTCCAGTCTCCAGTCGTTCAATATGAAAGACTACAAACTCAAAACCTTACAAAAATACTTGTCAATATAGCATTACTGGGAATTTTGAGACCTATTGACTGTATGTAATTTGGAAGATTCAGGTAATAAACATTCTAGGCAGTGAAACAAACCCCCCTGCAGTTATTTTAGACATTAAAAGACAAAATACTAAAAAGAGACTGTAGAATTCTAGGCTGTATATATGGAAATACCAAGGAAAACAGGTGGTTTCTTCCAGGTCTGTGATGTTGTCCCAATAATAGGGATTTTGTGTATACATGTGGCAGTGTGCCATTGGGAAATGTTGATAGATTCTCAGGAACGTGTGCAAATAAGACTTATGCTCTCGGGGGAATCATCATTCTGTGAGTTCTGCCAGGTTGCCATTGCTCTCTTACTTGAAGGGAGAACTTGTCAAGATTATGTTGTATTCCTGAGGCTTTTTATGGGGAGGATTTCCGTGGATGTTGTGTAAGGCAGCTTCTTTACTCTTGGTTAAAAGAAAAATACATAACAGAATAAAAAATGTTCACTTAAGGTTAAAACAGCAATGAACTGGAAAGAAGAAGTCTCATTTTCTCTTTGCAGTGTGCTTTTGTTCTTCCACCCCCTTTCTGCACACCCAGCAGTCCCATGCTCTGTTTCTTGTCCTTAGTGTTAATCATTTCCCTGCACTGATAATTTCTACTTGTAGAAATTTTTGTAGGGTTTTTGTAGAAAGCCACCTCTCTGAATTCCTGATGTATGCTGCCTTATCCTTTAAATGTTGAGCAGGAGTGGCAGACACTTTTTAGATTAATCCCAGGTACGTATTTTTATACGGCTAAATCCATATGTCTTACACATTTTAATAAATATTTAAAAATACCATAAAGAACAGATATTGTATCCTTTAGAAAATCTTGTTGGTCCAAGAAATTTAAGCAAGTATTTACATTTGGCTGGTATTTTAGAAATAAAATCCTACAGATTTTTCTAGAAAACAGAAAATTGAAATAAATGGGATAAATATCATTCCATATTAACGGTTGTTTCAAACCAGAAAGAAGGAAAAAATAAAGCTTCATTTCTTTGAGAGACACTTTTCCTTTTCGATAGCAAGGAAAACACATTCACCACAAAGTGTTAGTTTAAAATATTAATTCTATAAGATAGAGGATACAATTTGATTTTCCTTTTACTGTGGAATTTTATATCATCCTCATTACCAGTATTTGAGCATTTTCAAGTCACTCTTTAAGTGACAGAACTGATACCTGTCACACTTTTCATGTCTTTTCTTATGGAGATTTGTTTATGCACTTCATACTTTGCATTGGTGTAGTCTTGCTTAGATATTTCCCCTGCCTGAAATATGCTTGCCAGGCAAATAAAACACATACCCTGTACTGAAAGTAGACCATGAAGTGTAAGATGAATTTTTGGATCCTGAACTGTCGATCAGAAAAGTAGGTTGAATGATGACTCAGGTCTGAACACTTCCTAGCTTTGCAACTGCTTTTCACCAGAGCATTTATCATTGCCAGAGAAGCTCTTTCATCAAAACATGGAAAGCATATTGGGTAAAGAAAACATAAAAATATAATATAATGCCTGGTTGCATAGGTTGAGACATAATATTGCACTGCCACATTGAAACTGCTTTGAAAGGAGCTAAAAACTCCAGTGCTTTCTCAGTAGTAGTGCAAACCAAACCTGTGGATCCCTTCCAACTTAGCATATTTGATGATTCTGTGATTCTATGTATATTGTACGGCACTAATAAATGATGATGAATCTTCTGCCACTTCAGTGACTATTTTGGAAATGGTATTAAAAGTTTAGAAGAATGACAAGCTTTTGACTTAGCCTTGGAAAGCATTACTTTCTTGGACATTGCATATTCTCTGCCAAGTCTCCTGACTTTCCCTGCTGGATTTCTCAACAAAGTAGTCAGTAGAACATACCTGCCCTTGAGGTAAATTTACATAAATATCAGAATGATTGAAAAACCTCCAATTTGAAGTATAATATCTGTCAAAAAAATATTTGGGTTTTATTCTTGAGTGCCATTTTTCTTGACTCAGAGCAGTTCTGAAGGCATGAATCAAATAGTCCTGGTTTTGTTCCAGTGGAGTTTCCCAAAGTGCTTGACTAGAGCAGAGTTGACTATTCACTGAACTGGTGGGTGGTGCTTGTTTTTTTGAAGAGTGCTGCTGTTTTAACACTACATTAATGGACAAAGTGTATTCATTGCTGCTGGGTTTGTTCCAAGTTGGAAATTCGTGCCCTTGCCACTTAGATGGCCTTCCTTTGTAATAGAAGTAGTTGAGTTACAAAATTGCTTTGGAGAAAATTTTGGTAATACCCATTTTTACCTGTGGGTTTCTTCTTAAGTTACACATGCAGATTTCATTAAAGTACTACCTGGCTAAATCTATAAAGCAATCCAACTTGCCCTAATATCTAATACACATTATAATTACTTTTTATGTTTTTCCCTTCAGGAGTAATCACAATCAATTTACTTAAAACGTGTTTTGCTGGAGTTTGCATTGGAAAATTGCTTTGCCCACAGACATCCAAGTTGCCATAACATTGTTTCAAAGATGAATTTATTATTTTAATTATTGTAGAACAACTGTAGTTTGCAATTGCAGTACATCACAAGCAGATGACTATAAAAAAGCCTAAGGTCCACCAGCAGGTTCCAGAAGTGAAGACTTTTTAAAAATTTGTTACAACTCTTGAAAGAGAAGAGCGGAATTTCTCCTTCCTGTGACCAGTATGTCACTGGTTCTGAAAATCTGACAGGCATGTTATGTGATTTAATCTGCCCTACTTTGTAACCTGCATTTTGTTCACCTCTGTGCTTATTCAGTGGAACACAAAGTGTCCTTGTGAACTGATAAATGAACACTGTTATGCTCTGGTGATCCTTGCAGCACATATGGTTGGATGTAGAATTTGCACACCGATCCAAAAGGGATAAAGATCAAAATATGTGATTTTTCTGTTTATTACTTGCATCTGTCACTGAGCATCATTTTTGTTTTTACATTTAAGATGGAACATGAGTGGTTTTTAAAGCATACCTTGCCTAGACAAGGCTTGGCTTCTAATTTCCAGCTTAAGTGCCAGTTTCTGGTACTATTGGGAAAGTCTGAATTCTCCAGTCTCTCTCCTCTGCTCTCTAGAGGAACCTTGTACAATCCTATAAGTCTGCCTCTTAAATGGCAGAGATGCATCACAGAGTTTTTAGCTGTTAAACTATATTTTTTCCCCTTTTCTCTTATTTTGCCATGTCCCCCTATGTACACTGCTGTCCCAGATTATTTGGAACAATATTCTGTTTCTCTACCTGTTTGTCTCATGTTAACAAGCTTCAAAGCCCTCTGGTTGAGGACAGGGTTCTTCTGGCAGCAGTATCTCCATTTTAGTCCAGTCCCATCTTTGCAATGTGATTAAGGTTGCCTTATGTTGCCTGCTGTGCTGTTTGTGCTGCTATTTTGAAATGACAAATTCTCTTTGAAACGGATTCAATATTTTCAGGCAACTTGTGTGAATTAATTGTTTCCATCTTGAATGATTGAAGTCAATAGCCTCTCTGAGTCCAGAACAGACAAGATACACACCTCCTCAGCCATGAAGATAAAGTAGATATTAATCCAAGTCTATATGCTGTAAATCAAGAGTAAGCAAGAAAAGGGGGGAAGAATAGTTTTCTGTATTTCATACCAAGATATGCCGAAGACATAATGAAACTTTTGTCTAGAAAAGATCATAGAATGGATTTCTTCTTTCTTCTCCCCTGCCCAAAGAAAGAAATGGACCTGTTTTTTCTAAAGCAAACAAGTTTTCTTTCTTAAGTATGATATAAACTTAAGTATGAGATAAACTGAAATTGTTCGTTTTGAGGTCAATAAAAAAATTACCTTTGGTTTATATTTTTCTATTAACAACTGCACCCATCCATTTATTTAAGTATTCCTCAGAGAACTTAGTTTTGTAAGTGTCAAAACCAGTTCAACAGCCCAAGCAATTAAAGGTTTTGCAAAAGCTTTTAGAGTTCAATTGATTGCTACCTAAGGCAATTTGATTAGTCCACAGCCTAATAATCACTATTGTAGCCATGCTGTAAATGCTTATTTGGTAAGTATGCTGTGGAAGTATGATCTTCCCACTGGCCACCTACATAGCACTGAATTTTTTTTTCTTAGCTGTTTATTACAAAAATGGCACTGAAATACATAATTTTTTTTGCCGCCTCAGAATGATTTTTCTTATGTGATCAAATTATATGAAACCCAAAGGAGAGAATAAGCCTGGTCATTGTTGTAATTTATCTCCTCCTGTTTCTGTTTTGCTTTGTTTTGAAAGGACCAACCAGCCAGGAATGTTCACAAAGAGAGAATTTGATCAGTTGGCCTCAGCAATAGACAGCTTCAGTCTCATGACATACGACTATTCAGCACCACATCGGTAAGATTCCATCTGACATCAGAAAGATCATTGAAGGATCTGATTCCTACTGAGGTCTGTTAAATCCACAGTACAAGTTAATTTTTTTTTCTAGTAAAGTGGATAGTGCTTTGTATTTGTATGATACTAAAGTTCTGGATTAGTAATTAAAATAGACAATTTGTCCAGAAGCTGAAAACGCAGTATATTTTTAACAGCAATGTGTTTCTGGTATATGGATATTATGAAAGACTTTGTACTCCAGCTAAAAAGGCATTCTTTTAAAAGGATAACTAATTCTTTTCCAGGCTAAATAACTCTTTTTGAGTTATTTAACACAGTTCTGCAAGATAGGTACACTAATAATCTACTACTAATAATAAGATTGTCAAACAGATTAGCTTTAAACGATTGATACTTCATCTGCCTTTAAATATGAGCACAGTTCCCAGCAACTTTGCTCTGCTGTATTAGCATGTTGAGTTTTAATGGCACAGGTATCATGAAGGCTTTGAGGTAGATAATTAGTAGGGAGTAGCAGATGTTGATATTTGTAAGATTGGGATATACTCTTCATGTTACCATGCTAGTGAGTGCCTTTTGTCATGTTAATGTTTGAGGGAGAGCCTGCTCTCCTCTCCAGTGAGGTAGGAATGGAATGAGCATAATATCCTGATGTTACATACATGACAATTCCATCACTCTGTGTGTTAAGGCTATACTCTTTCTTCCTGTAGGTTTTTGTTAGGTACTTTGTAGGTTTTCTCCCATAAATAAGTGTTACACAATCATTGAAACTTGTCTTGCTTACCAGTGGCTAATTTTATAGTTCCTTCTGCAAGTAAATGGTCAATTTTGTCCCAGTATATTTTGCCAGATTGTTACAACAACATTGAGGAAAAAAACCTGAAGTCATACAGAGTTTTGAATTATAGCATATGGACTGTGCAAGGCCCAGTAGCAATGAGCTAGGGGGAAACCTTTTCTTATCTCTAGGAAGGAATTCTGTGTCCCTTCACTTTAGAATTGAATCAAAAAATTACGAGTGGGGCAGTCATGTTTTGTGTATCTTTGTATAGCACTTCAAGCTACAGAAGAATGTGTATTTAACATTGTTAGAATTATAGGTTCATCTTCACTGATTTTTGTGAGCCAAAATTTTCTTTTTACAATTACACTGGTCAAAAAGAGAAGGCTGAGTGTGAACATGTACTTTTTCTGACAACCTGTTTGATTTTTGCTAACCTGACAGGCCTGGTCCAAATTCCCCCCTTCCCTGGGTACGAGCTTGTGTTGAAGTACTGGATCCTGATTCAAAATGGAGGAATAAAATACTTTTAGGACTGAATTTCTATGGCATGGACTATTCTGCTTTGGGAACCTCTGGGGAGCCAATCCTTGGCAGCAGGTATGACTTCTCTGGATATTAAGTACTTCTTTATGACATATTCTCACAAACATTAGAAATTCACAAGTATTCTTATTTAGAAATATGGATGAGTTAGCAACACAGAGATGGAAAAAGTGATAAATCTGCACATGAAATAGTAGTTCGCCACTTAGGGTAAGACCTGTAACTTGTCTTCCCAGTACCGAAATGCAGATAGATGGCACAGTTATCCTGTCAGAACTCATATGCAAAAATGGTTTGTGTAGTTTTCCCTCTTTCCTCTTTTCATGTTTGTACATGCAGGTTGCCATCTTTGTGTTAAAAATGTTCTGCAGTATTCTCTTATGCTCTGCATCATTTTGGGAGTTCCTGCAGTTGCTTTAATGATTCTTTCTCTCAGCTCCTGAAGTTGTTACTTGTTACTTTGAAATTTGATACTGGTTTCCAGCAGCAATCTTTCAGTGCTGATCTGACTCTGACTGAAAACAGAAAAGGGAAAAATAAAGCCATTGTTTACAGTGAAAGGTATTTAGCAAGTATTCCAGAATGACTTCTGAAAAATTGGTGGTGATGGTTAGGTAGGAAGAATGTTCAATAGTCAAAGCATTGTTGATTTACAGACCTAATTATACAAGCTCATCAAAATTATGTAGCTTCACTGTAATATTTACAGCTCCTTTTGCAAATGGAGTGTAGCATTATCTAGCAGAATAAAAGGTTCTTGCTCTTTTCTGAACTGCAACTTTTGAATTTAAATTTCCACTTGAAAAACACTGTGCACTAGGGTGGCATCTACTTTTCCTGGATTCTTTTGGACCATATTATTGTATTAATTCATGTTGCTTTTTAATTAATGGCAAAAATACCCTAGCCAAGAGTCATGTATAAAACTTAAAAAGCTTAAAGTTTTGCTTTTTTTTAAAAAAGTTTTTAAAGACACTGGTGCACAGTATGGTTCTGTTAACATTCTTCACTGACAGGTCATGAGATTGTCCAGAACCTTGCTTGTGGTAAATACCTGGAAAACGACAGTCTTTAAGAGGCTTTGAATTTATACATAAAACACATCAATTTTCCCTTTGCTGTGTTATCCATTGGTCAGTGGCTATGTTTATTTTTCCAGAAATAGTAGCTCTAAGCATCCACAGTTGTATATGCCATGTAGTAATGTAAAAGTAGAATAGACTCAAGGTAAAATGGCTTCAAAATAGGCCAAACTTCTGACATAAAGAGCAGAAAAAAGAGGGTTTTAGTGCAAAATAAGCTTTCTGCCACTTAGTTGGTATCAGGCCATTTGTAAGGAAGTCCTTTGACCTGCAAAAGGTGCCGAAGGATTGATGCATTTCACCTTTAAGGCACTGTCCATATGTTGTAGTGATAGTGAAGCTGGGCTAAAGTACTGGTGTTAAATTAATTCAAAGTCTATTCAGTTAAGTGCAGTCTGGTGTGTGTCAACTTCTTTGTTGTAGATTTCTGCTCAAGTTTTTGCATATGAAATTTATTGCAAGTACAAGTCTCCAGCATGTCAGTGCTGCTTGGCACACAGTAAGGTGCACAATTTCTTGTTGAAACATATTCATTGAAATCTGATCCTCTTTAAGAAGAGAGATGGAGAATTGCAAGATTCAGTGGCAAACTGTGTATTCTCAAGTTGTTTGATGTTAGTGTATTATGCATCTTAATTGATTATTAGTAAAGAGTAAAGAATTGCATTCAGAATGCGAAATCTATGCTGCTCTTGTGTTAATGTTTTTCTTTAGGACAGGAATTACATGATGTAAAGAGATGCTGAACATAGGTGGATTTCATTCACTACATATTTTTTTTCAGTCCAGAAATTAATAAAATAACTTACAAAAGAACTCTTATTTGCATAACATATTATTTGGCAGTGTTTTTTATTGCAGAATGTAATATGAAGGTCGAGGGTAGAAGGTATACTTGCAAAGATATACAGCCTTTCCATGTAATATCCTGTTTCCTTCATACAGACAATAAGAAGTAATAGGTATATATGTATAAGCTTGCATATACATATATATCTATATAGATATATCTCAAGATTAAATTAAATGAAAACAATTTCTCTCTTACAGCAGCACAATGTAGTTTGTCCTTGGGTGTTGTTACAATAGGAACTACAATTTATATTTGCAGCAACAATTTGTTTCTTAAAGCTCAGTCACAACTATTACTTATTAATACAATGAGTCAATCACAGATATTACAGCACTTTCTGGTGCTTTAATCAACCAAGTACCATTTGGTTAGCTGCAGGGAAGCTGCATTCCTGTGTATATTTCATTGTGACATAATTTTTATGAAATCCTAAGCTGGAAATAAAGGTGTTCTGTTTGTGATTCTTCAGATCACCTGTAGTGCTTCTGGCAATGTTTTCTGCCCAGTGGCTGTCAAGAATCAAGTGTCTGAATTGTTAAGAAGCAGAGATGCAATCATTATAACTTTCCACTGTATTAAAATCCTGCCAGAACATAACCATCTTCTGCTGCTTCCTTGCTTTTCTAGTGATCACCTTGTTCCAGCATGTCCTCTGTTGATAATGTGACCTGACAGTATTTCCTCTTCACCTCAAAAGTGTATGTCTTGGGCAAATAATTTTTCAGTATATTCTGAAGCTTAAGAAATGGGTTTTTGAGACCTGCAGTAGGTCAGCAAGTCTCTCAGTCTCATGAGCTTCTGACTTCCAATGTGTTTTTTTCTGCCTTTAGCTATCTGTTCTACAGAATCTCTCTTAATCATTGGGACATTACCTTTCAGTTGCAGTTTTGTTTTGCCTTCTCATGAGAGGTAACACAGCAGTGTAATGGTGTTTTTCATTCCATGACATCTAAAATCTATGTCCATTATGACCTGGGCCAAAAGGGAACGGATAAACTTCACTGCTAGCTGTGAATTAAAAGCAATATAAATCAAAGGCTGTCATGTGGCAATGGTGTCACAAAATTCTTTATTGAGCACCTCCCTGCTAAGTTTCATGTGATAATGTCATTTTGTCCTTTTTTTTTTTTTTTTTGTATAGTGTTGGAAGAGGGAAGATGCAATCTCTAATGTTCCACCTGGCTCTGTGTAACTTTTGATTATATTCTGCCTTCGAGCTGCTTTTGTTCCAAATGTAGCCATTGAAAATAGATATGTGAATAACTCTATTATTTTGAAACAATGCTGTGTGTGCTTATCTTTTATTTGAAGTAATCTGAATAAGGACTTTTATGTTAATTTTAAACATTTAAGAAGATTGATATAGTAAATTGCCAGCTGAAGCAAGGGACAAACTAATTTTACAATGCATTGTGCTGTTCAGAGATAGAAAATAAGATGACTTCCAAGCTATGGGAGGATGTAGAGTTCTACTGAGAATTTCATTGGCTGCCTGCCATTCTGTAAATACCACATAAAATGTGGTACTTAGAAACAGTTAGAGGTGAACTTTTTCTCTGAATTATCATGACAGTGTCTTTATAAGAAGCATTTTAAGATTTGGGCCAACTGTGACTCATTATTTTGTATTATGGAAGTTAGCAAAAATCTTGTGCTGCGAATTCTTTTACTCTTGAAGCAGCAAAGCTTTTACAACATTTCTCTTCGTGCTGTAATTCTCTCAGGATTTCTGTTACTTGACTGTATGCCACGATTCTGTATCCTGATTTAACCTATTTTCTTCATAGTTCATGGGATTTTGGGGAGATACTAATGTTTCAAATAAACCAATGTACCCATTAGCTTTGTAGGACTGAACAGCTTGACCTTCTGTCCACCTCCCCTCTTTCCTGAAGAAACTGCTAAGCTATTTCTTCTTAAATTGTACTGCTGGGTCAGATAGTAAAACCGTGACAGTGATAGAAGGAAGTTACAATTGGGCCTGGAATCAGAAGTTATTTCTGTATTACAGATGTCTAAATATTTCAGAAGTGTTTAAAAAGTTTTATTCTATTAAATTCCCTCTGGAATATTCTGGTATGTGTCTCTTCCCTGGTATATCTGTCCTCTCTCCCTTTAGGAATGGAAGGTGAAATTGAGCTGTTAGCTGAAAGTGTAAGATTAGTTAATTAATGTAAGGAAGATAGAGCATCTTACAAAGTAAGACTATGGGTCATATTTCAGGTTATCCAAATTTACCTTGTGATGATAAATAAAAGAAGATGTTGCAATTGTTTTTTATGTAAAACACACTCTTATATCTTTTGAAGTGAGGGAAAGGTGGCTTTTGTTTATTAGGCAAATGACTGGTTCCCAGATTTGGTTGTACAATGGCATTGGCTGTGGGTGAGTGTGTATATTTCAGTGAATCTCCTTTAAAAAACTGGTCAGTTGTGATGTACATTTTAAATGGTGGGCATATTATTGTGAAATGTGCTCTTCTCCATCTGCCATGGTGTTTTAATAGTAAATTTGCTACAGGCAATATTTAGGCAGTTAAATATTGACAAAATAATAAGGATGTCGTTCTTTACTGTCTTCTTGTTGTACTCCAACCATTAGAAGATAGCATGATAAAATTAGCAAAAATACTTCTGTGGTTTAAAACTAAGAGCCAGAAACCTTTACTGTAAGCTAAATTTACTTATGTCCTTAGAATTGTGTGTGGGCATTTGCACCCACTGTGAAGTGAAAGAAACTTTTTGCTTTGTTGACCTTCTTTGAGCTTGTGAGATCACTAATGGTGGACCTAAAGGCAGTCATAGCTCAGAGTGAATCTCTTCAGATACATGATGATTAACAAAGAACATAGAACAGATGGCACCATGTATGTATCCAGATCACTCCACTATGAATCCCTTTGCTCCCATTGCCCCATCCTCTCTCATGCTCAGTGCTGAAAGGTTAATCTTTAATTTTGCCTGGTGTTGGCTGTCTCTCACAAGATACTCCTCGTGTTCAGTTCCATTGCAGTTCAGCTGGGAATGAGTGAAAAGGACCTCCTGAAAATGTGAGTGACTTTATACGTAGAGTTGGGTCAATACACTGTGCTCACATGTTGGATTGTGTGCAGGATAGAT